CGCTGAGGGGTGACCTTGTGCTTCTCTACAGGAATGGAGGTGCTGAGGGCTTCTCTCTGGTGTTCAGTGATAGAACACATGGAAATCATCCAAAGCTGCATCAACAGAGGCTCAGTGTTGATGTTGGAAAGCATTTCTTTACTTAGAGGGTGGTTAAAGAGTGGAAGAAACTTCCTAGAGTGGTGGTCAATACCCCAAACCCGTCACTGTTTAAGAGACTTTTGGAAAATAGAGTTAATAACATGCTTTAACTTTTGGTCAGCCCTGCAGTGGCCAGGAAGTTGGACTAGATGGTTCTTGTAAGTCCACTTTCAATTGAACCATTCTATTCTACACCATTCCATTCCATTCCATTCCATTCCATTCCATTCCATTCCATTCCATTCCATTCCATTCCATTCCATTCCATTCCATTCCATTCCATTCTGTCAAAAAATAATTTGAATTACACAAAAAGGCCTCGCAATTGGACAGCCAAAGTGAATACTTTTCTTAAATTTCTAACTTTGCTTCTTGTTTCAGCTGCTTTTCATATGAATGGCTTTCCACCTGGAGAGTGCTAACTTAAGGTTTGCAAGCTCCAAACCTGCAAGAAAGAACTGTTTCTTTTGAGGTGGAGCAGTGTTTGAATTTAAATTGCTCGCAGTCCCTGGAGGTAATAGCCTCATTCACCCTGTAACCATTTTGGCTGTGGTACCAGAGGCATTGCAATGTGATGCATGACATTGAGTCTGCAACACTAATGGGCACCAATATATTGCCCAAGTCATATTTCTCTTTTGCAGCAGTGTTAGTAAAGCAGCTATGGAAGCTATAAACTGCAAGAGGGGGAAAGTTAGAACTGTGCAATGTTTCAGTGAGGAATTTGAGATAGCCATAACAGTTCCAAAATCCATCAGTCATTTGTCTAAACAGGAAAAAAAAAATCAAAACCATGCTGATATGTTCTGAAGATTAAAAAAACCTTTCAGTCTTGGGAGTGAGCAGTAACCTTTGAATTACTGCTAATTTGTCTACCTGGCAAGTTTATCAACCTGCTGAGGCTGAAGACTGAGACAAGCAGATCTTTAAGGAAAGGTTTTGACATATTTTGGGTGTTCATTGCTTTATTAACAGAAGGTTCATACCTTTCTAGGGCAGAGAGAGACAAGGCTGAGACTCAGTCTGTGCTCCAGAGCTGCTGAGCTCTGGCTGGGGCTGGCTCTTCCTTGTGAGTTACTGCATCCAGATAACCTGCAGCTCCTGCCTTGCTCTGCAGTAGTGTTGCTAGGCAGTTGCTAAGGCTGTTTTTGCTCCAGGCTAGATGATCTACCTGTTTACTGCACTAAACTGTGGGATTTAGGGATGGAATAATATCCCAGCCTGGGTAGTGAGCCCTGGCTACTCCTTGTTTATAAGCAGGATACCTGGTTGCTGTGCCCTGGCAAAGGTCTGCAGAGCTCTAGCACCTCTCACCTGGGGTAAGAGCCAGGCTGCAGCAGGAGACTCCCAGAGCCACAAGGAGGGATTTTCCTTGTGGATTTAGTTCCTCAGGATGAAGACTGGGATTTCTTCCTCTGAGAGTAGCTGTCACAGGTCAGCACCCGAAGGCAAATACTGGTGTCATGTAACAAGGACCAATTGTTCTGCCTGAGTTTTCCTGGCAGTTATGCTGATTTTGTTGCTTTAATGTTTTATCCAGTTGTTCTAGTCATACCCAAAGTAGTTTTCAATTAAATAAGCAGAAGTCTTTTATGCCATAGAGAGTAGCTTATATTCATTTAGTGATTAACAACATTTTCTGAAAAGACTTTAGAGCAGGGCCAGGTTGGTCAGATCTATGTTCAACCACAGATGACAGTACTCATTTTTCTATTGCCAAGGCATTGCCCTGGACTTGCATCTGCCTTACAGATAGATAAATGGAATGTGACTATCCCTCAGTCCCTGAAATCCCAGTAGAAGTTTTGATAAAATTTAATCTGACAAATTGGATTCAAGACATCTGGGATTAATTCTCAGTTCAGATTTTGCTGGATATCTATCAAATGAGCCTATCAAGCAAAGTTCTGTACACTCTCAGGTAGCTCACTTAATCCACTTTATGGTTTGGTTCCTCTTCAGTGAAATAAGGCCAGCACCTTATAACTACCTTAGTAGAGGAGTCAAAAAGCATTACTGGATATAAACTGCTCAGATATTTGGAGAGCTGTGAGACAGAGAGGAGAGTATCAGCATTTTTTTCTTATTTAGTACAGTGATATTTTCTAAGGGAGTGTTCAGTTATCAAATTTAATTCTGGAAGAAATATTTCACATGACCAAATAATTCTTTATCAAATCAGTTCTTTATAGTTCCTTTCTAGGAAGGCTTATTTTACAGAGCTTTCTCTGTTCCATCGCTTAATGTAGTTGACGTCCTGCTTGATGCTTCATCACTTCTCCCCACTCCAAGTTTTCAAATAGTTTTCACTTCCATAGTGAATTATCATGATCACTGGTGATAGCTGAGAAGATGCAGCAAAGCAGAGATGCTTCCTCTTTTTCTCGAGCCATGAGTTTGCATTTTTTTTCCTTTCTGTGTGATTGCTACAAAGGTTGATTAAATTAGAAGAAGAAAGATCAATCACCTATGTGATAGGAAGTGAAATGAAGGTTTGCAAAATTAGTACTTTAGGGGCTTTTGACAGATTTATGTAGGCTCTCTGCATCTGGGCATTGTCTACTTCAGTTTCAAAATATTTCTTTTACAGAACCCATTGCAGTTGCTTTACTGAGCTTTTTATAGGCTTGTGAAAAGAGCTGGCTGTCAGAGCTCCAGACTGCATCCTCCTGTCCCAAAAACAGGTATAAGATCAGCCCAGAAGGGATGTGGAGATGTTGCTTTGACAGTGTTATGCTGAAGGAAAGCTTAGCATCACAGAAACTATTTTTGACTTGTCCTTAGCAGGCTTCAAGTGATGGAGATGGTCACTGGCTGTGAAGCAGACTGGTACCAGTATATTCCTGGTATTGGACATCTCTGATGATGGGCAGATGTTGTTTGCTGTCATTCTCTCTGTCATAACACCATCCTTGTATCTCTACCAAATTAATTTTTTGGGTTATGCAGGTAAGAAATTACTCTTTTGGGAATTACTCTTTTGGCCTTTGTGCTCTGACCACTAAGAATACTCTAAGTAGTTTCAAAGAGGACAGCAGTAGCCTTAATTTACAGCACTATTAGCCAGTAACAGCTCTTTAGCATTTGCTGCCATTGTTGGTGCCAAGCAATTGGACTAGAGGGAATGGGAAGAAACTGATGCACAGAAAATTCCACTTGAATATGAGTAAGAATATCTTTACTGTGTGGATGACCATGCACGGCAACAGATTGTCCAGCGAGGGTGTGGAGTTCCCTCACTGGAAATATTCCAGAGCTGTCTGGGCACGGTCCTGTGCCATGTGCTCTGAGCAGGGAGGTTGGACCAGATGATCCACTGTGGTCCCTTCCAGCCTTACCCAGTCTGTGCTTCTGTGAAACATCAAAGAGATACATCTTTGGGACTTGTGTTGCTGCATAGACACCAGGTAAGCCTAATGTAGAACTGTTCCTGTTGTCGGACCCTGGGTCACCAGATATGGCAGAAGTTTCTTTGCTCATGGCTTACAGGTGACAATTATTCCTTCTGCCAGCTCCCTTTCTTCTCAAATGCTCTCCACACACCTTACAAAGCTTTTTCTCAAGTAGAAGCTTTCTCCTTTTGGTTTTGTCCCCCCATCCCAGTCACATCTCTCTCGAAAAGTACAGATTGTTCCTGTACCAGATTCCATGTTCGTCCCACAGATGTATTCTTTCCTAAGTTATTTTAGTGGGGTTTTGTCTTTGGAGTAAACTACTTGCATTGGAATTGCTTTTGCATATTATGGAAGTTGGTTGGAAGAAGAGTTTCTGCTACACTCACTTGTGAAATGATGGAGAAATGAGGAGAAAGCTGTGAAAATACACACACGTATGGAAAGCCTGAAGAAAGGGAGTGATTTGGTGGGCGGGAGAGGGGGGAAATTAGGGAGTAATCAAGCACCACTGAGAAATAAGTAATTTAAACTGACTGTTGATTATACCAGAGTAACTCAACAAAAGAAGCAATAGAAAGTCTGCTAATCACAAGCAGATCATATCTGACAAAATGTGAGATAGTGAATAAATTTGTTTATCTCCTTGCCTGTTCAGCCAGAATTTATTCTCTCTAAATGAAAGCATTGAAAGAGGGTATGGCAAGAACTATTTTGCTTTGAGCTCCTTAGTCAGAGGAGAGATAAAGATACCTCTAGAATCTGCAGGATTGAGCAAAAAGTGGGCAGGTTCCTCGGTAAATGGGCAGAATATTCCCCACAAAACACTTCTTGTCTCTTCATTCACTGTTAGAAGAACTAGGAAAATTAGTCATTTTGAGGCAGCCTACCAGATTAGGTCCAGTTTACTTGCATGACCCAGCACCCATGTACCTCAAATCCTTACCCACCAGATGTGCCTTTTCCTCGTGAGAGTGAAAAATGTTTTTAAAGCTCTTTTCTGTCAAGGTAATTTGAACATGTTAAGGATGACTCAGCAAAGCACTTAATTGCATGTCTCAGCCTATCCCTAATAAGCAGAGATCTTAAATTCTTGTACAATCCTAAGCATATCCTTGAAGTTAGCTCAGGCACATACCCAAACTGCTGATTATGCCTGGGGGAAAGCAGGTAAGTTTCAGGAAAGCAGCCACTGTTTCAGTACCAGGCCATGTAAATGGCCAAATATACTATTATATATATACTATTATATATATTTTACCAAAGATATATAATATCTTTGGTAAAAACAACAGCTGAACCTACAGCAGCCGAATTTCTTCTTTATTCTATAATCACAAAATTATCATTCCTAAAACGTCACCCCCTTTCATTCTTCTACTGTATGGACATGAGTTTTCTCCATATTCCTGATACTGGAGCATTGTCTGCATATACCTGGGTGTTTTGAAATACAGAAGTTTGAAATATCTTTGAGAATCTGTTTCTTTTCACTGCATTTTATTGAACTTGACAGCCTTGTGTTGCACTCTGAGAATTACTGACTCTTTTTCCCAGGCTTCTGGAGTTCACTTTTCCAGTGTTGGGAGGTCACTGGCTTTTTTCCACCTCAGAGTTCCTGAATTTCTGCAGGAGAGAACACAAAGTTTTAATAGTGAAAGTTGCTCAATATTGTCTGGTGTTCTGATGGATGGCAGTATCCTTGCTCTGTGTGCCTTCGTACAGCAAAACACTTCAGCTGAAGAGGTTTAAAAAATCTATTTTGTCTGCTTGAATGCATGAGTTCTGTGGTAATGAACAGCTTTCTTACCAAGGCCAAATCAAACCAATTGCCTCTAACCAGATTTTTTAGTGAAAACAAGGCTGTATTATTTGATAAGAGAGCAAGGATTGGGGTTATCCTGCATCTCACTTGTTTTGGTATACTTTGCGAATTTGCAGGAAACTGGGAGGTTTGTTCCTTTTTGTTTTGCCCTTCCCATGCCAGGGTGGGCACAATCTGCATATTGTACTGGCAAAGGTCCTGCCATCACCAGTTTCCATTTAAACAAATCGTGGTCTGGATGCAGCCCAGTGCTGTCAATACTCCTCAGACACCTGAGTCACAACCAGCTTTTACTTTATTTATGACATTTCTTTTGTTCCATACCCATTCTCTGGCTGGCTGCCTGTGACAAGTACCATGGATATCCTCCACCCTTGGTCTCCCAAACCTGGCATGTCATTTGCCTTCAGAGAAAAAATTAACTGTCACCTTTATGTGAAACTGCAGAGATTGGCTATGGCAAGGGACTAGATGATGGCCAGAACCACACTGCTGCTCCTACAGGTGCTAGATGTCTTGTTTCAGAGTTTTATTCATTCAACATGGGTTAAAAATGGCTATCAGATATATGATTTAGAGGATTTTTTTTTTTCCATTTTTGGATTATTAAAACCTGGGCTGTTGTTTGTTTTTTCTCTTTTGTTGTTTTTGTAGCTTACAGTGTAATCCACATCCTGAGAGGAGAGGGTATTTTCACATGAGTGCTTTTACAATTGAAGGAATGATCTCCTCGACCTCTCCTTTTCTCTTCCCCTCCATTGTGTAGTTCTGGTCATTTTTGATCCTTTGTACATTTACATAGCTGTGCTCTGCAAAGATGACTTGAGCTGAGGTTTGGTGGGTGCTTCCAGATGAAAAGTTTCCAGAATTACCTGCAAAGCCAGAGTACAGGCCCAGCTGATCTCATCCATCCTGTGTTCCCAGTGCACCTGCATACCCACCCTATAGGCAAAGAATCAGAGTTAATTTCAGAAGTCCTTTTGAGCATCCTTGCTTAAACTCCGCCAGTGCAGCCTCAGCCTTCATTTCTGACTGGGGCTGTTGTTCTGGCCCTGGGTAGTATTGCCTTCCCTTCATTATGTGTGATGCAAGGGAATTCCTTGCACATTAACAGTACAGCCCTTTGACTGGGACAGGAAAAAGACTGCAGCTTAATTCTTGGAGTATTTCTAGCAAAACACTACATGATTGTCACAGCTTTAGTTGACCAGCCAAGCCATCCAAGGTGGGTTGTTTTAATGACAGGATTTTAAGCCTGGGATGTTTCAAAAATAATTTTATATAATGAAATGAGACAATCTGCTCAGAAGACCAAAGGCACCACTCCACTGCTTCTGAGAGCCATGTGGCATGAGTGAGTTTGCTTTTGAAATAAGTCCTAATCAGTAGGCAAGACCAGAAAATGTTTATAACTCTGGTTTTCACGGGTGAGAGGGTGAGGCTCCATGTGTTGGCACCTTTGTGCAGATCTAACACAATGGAACACTCCAGTGATAATCTCTGTTGGTTTCTCTCCTTGAACTGTAGTGAGACTCATGACAAGGAAAGCTTTCAATATACTCATGTCTTTCCTGCCTCTCCTCCCAGCTGGGAAAGTGATTTTTACATAAGAAAGAATGTTTGTCTTGCAGAAACCTGTGCTGCAGGCCTATTCTTCTGCCTTTTTGATTTTCTCCTTTTTAATTTTTTGGTTTTTTTTTTTTACTAAAGGCAATTCAGAATTGATTCAAAGCAGAACCAAACTCACAAGGGTGGGGTAGGGGGTTAGAAAGGCACAGTAAGAATTTACCCAGAGAAAATTAATTTGAGGATCTACCTGAAATGAAGCAAATGAACCTCAGAAATACTATAGAATTAAATTACTGTAAAATTTCTCCAGGCTTAATCATTAAAGGTCTAATTAAAAGAACATTATTTGGCAGTATAGTGTCCCTGTACCTCATGAAATATATTAGTCTGGGTCTTCCTTCCTTCCTTCCTTCCTTCCTTCCTTCCTTCCTTCCTTCCTTCCTTCCTTCCTTCCTTCCTTCCTTCCTTCCTTCCTTCCTTCCTTCCTTCCTTCCTTCCTTCCTTCCTTCCTTCCTTCCTTCCTTCCTCCCTTCCTCCCTTCCTCCCTTCCTCCCTTCCTCCCTTCCTCCCTTCCTCCCTTCCTCCCTTCCTCCCTTCCCTTCTCTTCTTCCTCCCTTTCCCTTCCCCTATTCCTCCCTTTCCTCCCATTTCTCGTTCCCCATGTCTTTCCCTCCCTTGCTGTCCCTCAGCAGCCTGTGCAGAAAGAAATTTGTTTTATTTTGAATGGAGAATGCAGTTTCCAGCCTGGGGTTTGCAGACCCTCAGGGTTACTTGTAAGAAGGGGAAAGGATGAAAAGAAACTAGGAAAAGCAAATTGAGGTACTAAATCCCTGTAAGATAGCTATACCCCTGAAAATAAAATTGCACCTTCAAAAAGTAAAATAGTTGGAAGTTACCAGGAAAAAAAGGAATTATTACAAGAAAAAACATCAGGAGGTTTGAAAGGTCATTATGGTCAAATATATAGTGTAGGTAAAATTCAGGGGAAATCTGTTCAGTGTTAATACAATTTTAGATCAAAGGAATAACAGTACCTGAGCTGTAGACAGTTAGTGGAATTAAACTTTTGAACCTTTTTAAGACTTTCCTGTCATTTTATATAGCCAGTGAAAAAAGAGAAATCCTAGTTCCTTCCCTGCAGTAAATTTATAGAAGTTCATAAATGAATCTGAACTCAAATATTAAAGCTCTGAAACATCATGCTTTTGCTTATGTAGGAACTTGGATTCCAGTGGATCTTAAAATGATTTGTGGACATGCATTTCATAGGGCACAGGTGGCATCAGAAGCCACATTTCACACAGCTGTATCTGGTGCAGCCATAAATAACTTAGCAAAATATTGAGGTAGAACTTTTTAAGAGCTTTATAAACAAGTGATTTGTTTACAAAACATAAAAACTGCATGAATATGCCAGGTCTGGAAGTAACAAATTCTTCATCAGGTAAAGGCACAAGGATGCAGAATAAAAATTATTTGCAATTCAAACGCAGAAGCATGATATAATTAAAGCATACAGGTTTTAGTCAGGGAAATCTTTGTATGCAAAACTGTCCAGCACATCTCAAATCAGTGTCCCAACTGTTTGTGTAAGGCACTGCAATTTAATAGTATTTGCTCTTGAGAAAAGGTCACAGGCTCTTTGCATAGACAGGTTTAAAGGAACACCATCTCCCCAAAAATAAAAAAAATTACCCCAGAACAAATCCCAGATCTTTTCACTGCAGATTTTCCCCACACCAGGGGATGGCAGAATCATTGTCTACATCCTTCCAACCCTTACCTCTAGGAGTGGGTTAAATGCTGGCTAGCTTTAGGGCTACAGATTCTAAATCCTTTTGGATTTAAAATCTAAACCCAAGCAAAATTACCAGCTTTCTGAAGTTGGAGCCTTCGTGTCTGATTCTCTCAGACATTTCAGTAGAGCTGTCACATCAACAGATCATTTTTTTCCTTTATTTTGCCCAAAGCAGAGATTCTTGTGTAATCACATAACTCAAGGAGCTGGGGCTTTAGAAAAATGCTGAATATTATGTTATACTGTTGCAATTTGTCAGAAAAATAGCTTCTCCAAGCTATTGAGATCTACAAGGTTCAGTTTAGATTATCCAGAATAAATTGTCTCTTGACTGACAATCCAAAAGAATAGCTCCATGATTAATGTTTTGGGACAACCTTGAAGTAGGATTTTCCTTCCTCTGCTCTTGCCCCTGCATGCAGCCTCTCTCAGCTCTATCCAACAATCAGTTAATTTCTTTACAGAGATTCCCCCAGCCACGAGCTGGGTTTCACAGGGGTTGTGGGTGCACAGTTGCCTGCAGCAGCTGAAATGTGTGCAAGGAGATCAATACTGTGTTTTCTGAAGCACAGTCTCAGTAGCTGTGGAGTGATCACCTTTGGCTCTTTTCTATACCTTCAATATCCATCTTAGGCAGAGCCTAAATTTGGAACTGGGGCGCAGTTGCAGAGGGGTGTATTGAAGCCAAACCTCTGACACTGCAGTGCCAGGGAACATTCCACAGGGACACTTCCACTCTTTGTCAACCACTTTTTATCCTGTCAGAGCAGTGGAAAAACCCTTAATGTAAAGGAAAATCAGCCTCTTTCTCTGCAATCCCAGCATGGTGTCCAGCTGCACAGCTGAAGTCTTGGTCCACCCTACCCACCCAGATTCCCACTGACCAGACACAGAGAGCCCAGTGAGTCCCTGCTGACATCATGGGGAGCCTCACCAATCTGCAGACAATCATTTAATTGCCTGCCAGGACGTTTGTGTTTCCAAAGGGGAGGATTTATACCCAAAGAGTGCTCATATCCCTGCAGTGGGGAGCCAAGACTTGTCAAATCCGCTGCCGGCTGCTGGTGACTCATGAGATGTCCAAGACAAGCAGCTTAACTTTTTCCTCTGTTTCTGTTTTCAAAGAAACCACTTCTCAGCTGCACACCAGGGGGCTGTTGTGAGTTTGAATTAATTTGAGGCTTCCAAATTAAAATTGCTGCAATACAGCAATTCATTTCACCCTGTGAGGAACATCTCAGATCCGCTGACTCTTCCTGTGGAGGCACCTGTTTCTCTCCGAAGCCAGCTCAGCTAACAAGCTGAGGCATTTCACTGGCTCTGATGAGCTCTCTCTGTGTTAACTCTTCTCTTTGCAGGTCTTAGAACCCCACGGGCAGGAAACAGAATCCTAACTTGCATCACATGGCAAGTTAACTGAATATTGGGAGCAAAGCCTATTTCCAGCAAGCACAGGCCTGCTGGTGTTATATTTATGCTCTGGCTTAAAAACATTCAATTGAGGATGCCATTAGGGGGTTAATGGAAGCATTGTACTTAGAAAGTCTCTCTGTAAGCTAGGCTAGCCTCCTTACCTTACTGTGTGATCAAACTCATTATTTTCCAGATCCTGCTGGGACTGTAAACAGTCAGATTTGAGCAAATGAGCTGCAGATGTATTTATATCAGGACAATAACATCAGGGGGGTTTGGAATGGCATGCTATGGCCTGCTGAAGAAATAATGTAATTAAATTATTGTTTACAGAAAGAAAACTGGCACTTCTGGGCAGCCGATATTTTTAAGCTTTCTTGAAAAGAAACTTGACTCTGGAGCATCCTTTAAAAACAGAAATTAGAGGTCAAACACTGGATGAGGAAGCAGGAATAGAGGATTTTCATCTTCAGAACCTGATTAACAGCACATAAACATCACACACATACAATTATATCTTGTGTTTGTGCAGATCTTAGGCAGAATGAGACTATGAGTATTTTCAAGTCATCCATCACTTAAGGTTGTGTGAGCAACTACTAAACACACACTTCCCCAAACTTCAGAAGACTGAGTTTGCCTGAACTTGACATAAAAAATGGGTGCAAGATGTCAAAATAGTGTCCTCATTTTATGAATGAGGGAATGCATTGCTCAAGGGCTTTTTGCTTTTGTTTTTCTTTCATTTGGGGAGGACCAGAGTGGGGCACGGGAAACAGGACTTAGTGGGGGGGGGGTAATTTTATCTTGATTTATTGTCTATTTGTAAACAACTGCTGACATTTGAGATGACCCAAAGTGTCAGTATGGGATGCTAAGTAGGACATGGAGAAAATCTCCCATTACAGCACCCTGTCTGTGCAGATAAACCAAGATAAGGGGAAATGTAGGCACCTTGCCTACACATAGGTTACACACATGAGAACAACCTGTGCTAAGTCTCAGAGTTAACCCTGCCTTGATTCTGGTTGTATTCTGGTTGGGATTGTTATTTCAAAGAAAGATTGATCATTTTCATACTCACCACTCTCATAAGAGCTGTGTTACTACTGTGAGCAGGTAAAAAATGCTGAGTGACTTTCATGGGCTCCTCCTCACTGCCAGTTCTCCTGTTTTAGTGCTGTCATGACACAGGGGATGTGTGCTGTGGCCACTCTTGAGCACTGTGCAACTGTTCAATTTTCCTATTTTAGCTTTTGTACGACATCCTAGACAACCTCTCCAACAGCGGATGCCAACCCCCAGACACTTGACAGCTTTACCTGATGGCATTTAGTCTGAATTGAAACATGTGCAAAGCTTGGCCTCCCTCCAGAGGCAATGTAGAGAGCCACCTCCACCACCACAGGCTGTTTGCATCTTGTTCCTGTTTCAG